GCTACCACCACTACTACTACTACTCCTACACCTACCACTACTACCACCACCACCACTACTACTACTACTCCTACACCTACCACTACTACCACCACCACCACTACTACTACTACACCTACACCTACCACTAATACCACCACCACCACTACTACTACACCGACCACTACCAATACTACCTCTACCACTACCACCACCACTACTCCTACACCTACTACTACCAATACTACACCTACCACTACACCTACCAATACCACCACCACCACTACTACTACACCTACCACTGCCACTACACCTACTACCACTACCACTACCACTACTACCACTACTACACCTACACCTACACCTACACCTACCACTACTACTACTACTACTCCTACACCTACCACTACTACCACCACCACAACCCCTACTACTACACCTACCACTACTACCACCACCACCACCACTACTCCTACACCTACTACTACCAATACTACACCTACCACTACCACCACCACTACTACCACACCTACACCTACTACTACTACTCCTACACCTACACCTACTACTACTACTCCTACACCTACCACCACCACCACCACCACCACTACTACTACTACGTGTCAGTGACGTGACTCGCGGCGCCATCTCACCTTCAGCAGTTGTCGTTCCAGGTCCTTGAGCTTGCTGCGCAGCATCCGTATGTCCGTCTTGAAGCCCTCCGCCTCCAGGAGGCGCCGGCGTTCCAGCTCCTTGTAGCGCCGCTGCATCAGCTCCAGACGCTCGCCGATCTTCTCCGATCTCGCCTGCGAAGATGCCGGGGGCAACGTCGTTAGACGACGCGCAATTAGAAACGACCTCGTTAACGACGTGAACACACAATAACCAAGACGGCCTCGCTCGAGAAAAGAAGACATAATTTAGGAGATACACTTTGGCACCCTTGGGCAATTTTTGTTATCACAAAAAATGAAGATCGTATATTTTCCCATCTGAGTGTGTATAAATTAAGGAATTTTGCACAGGGGAGAGATAGTGATCCGCTAGGGGATGGCTCTGATTGGCTAATTTTGCCTCTCATTTATTTTATTTTTTATTATTTTTGGCTAATTTTGTTTTATTTTAGGATTAGGGATAGGGTTTGGGTTAGGGTTAGGGTTAGGATTAGGGTTAGGGTTAGGGTTAACTGATTTCGATATCCACAACTTATTTCTATATTCACTATCTCTCCCCTGAGACCTACTATAAATGAAGTGCGTATCCCTCACCTTGAACATCACCTCCTGAGCGTCTGCCTTCTCGCGGCAGCCGCAGAGCTGGTCCTCCAGCGCGACGCACTGCTCGCGGTACATCTCGCACAGCTTGTTGCTCTGCCGCAGCTGCTTCTCCAGCTCCTGCGTGCCGAGAGAGAAACGCGCGTGTCAATCGTTGCCGCCGGCGATGAGGCGTCGACCGGTCGCGCGCCCCCGACTCGTGAGCGGTGAGGAATGCGGACGCGGTCCCCCTTGATGCGACCCCCCCCCTCCCGAGATGTGACAAACGGGTAGCGAGACGTCGGTGCGCGGGGAATTTGCGCGGGATCGCACGTCGAGGCGGAGAGAGAGAGAGAGAGAGAGAGAGAGAGAGAGAGAGAGAGAGAGAGAGAGAGAGAGAGAGAGAGA